AGATGCAAATAATTGTGTAATTCAGCATACAAAGTCAATTCTGTTTTGTCAATTGCAGATTCATCAAACACCTCAGCCGAGGTTACAACTCCTGCTCTCGCACAGACCTGTACTTTACCCCATTGGCCTCTTCAAAACTGGCCAAAAAACGAGAGGAAGCTGCTGAAAGATCCAGAAGAGAAGCAGAGCTGAGCGCTCGACAGGGACGAGAAAGAGAAAGAGAAAGAGAGCGTGAGAGGGAGAGAGAAAGAGAGCGGGAGCGAGAAAAGGAGAGAGACTCTGATAAAGCCTCTGTAAGTACATGTGGCATTTACTTTTGAATTTGACATTTCAGAAAAAATAAATAAAATGATAGTTTACCCAAAAAAATATTTTTAGTTAGTTTAGTTAGATTTCTCTTTACTGTAATGTGAAACATGTCATGCCAAGTACTTTAATGCAAAAAAATATATTTTTATTGTTTTACGCCTACACTGTTTAAAATTTATTTAATATAGGTTGCCAGTTACAGATCTGCTTTATCTTTTAAAAAACAAATTTTGATAAAGATCTCTCTTTAAAGAAGTTTATAATATAAAACCTTTTTTTTTTCTTCACATAGCGTGCTTCAAGCTCATCCCATGATGGCCGAATAGGTGACCACCTGCTTGCTGCCCATGTGCAACCAGGCCGTCCGTCATTCGAACCTCCTCCCCCCACCACCGTGGCTGCAGTTCCACCATATCTCGGCCCTGACACTCCAGCCCTCCGCACACTCAGCGAGTACGCCCGCCCCCACGTCATGTCGCCCACCAACCGCAACCATCCTTTCTTCATGCCACTTGGGCCGGGAGAGCATCTGCTAGCTTATCACATGCCAGGGCTGTACGCAGCAGACCCATCCCTTCGAGAACGAGAGCTTCGTGAACTTCGAGAAAGAGAGATCCGAGAAAGAATGAAGCCTGGATTTGAGGTGAAACCGCCAGAGTTGGAGAACCTACTTCATCCATCGGCAAATCCCATGGAGCATTTCGCCCGCCATGGAGCCCTGGCTCTGCCTCATGTGGCTGGGCCTCACCCCTACGCCCAGTTTCACCCAGCCATGGAGCGCAGCATAGTGGTACCCCCTCGGCCGGAAATCAGCTACGCTGAGCGTTTGACAGCTGAGCGGCTCCATGCTGAAAGAATGGCCTCTGTTGCTGCTGGTGACCCTGTTGCACGGCTACAGATGCTCAATGTTACACCACACCACCACCAGCACTCACATATACACTCCCATCTACATCTGCACCAACAGGACCCTCTCAATCAAGGTCAGAACTTCAGAGATATAGGTTAACAGTTATTTAGATAAAAAAAAATTTAAGAAAGTAAATGGAAATATCAATGTTTTGGTCTTTCAGGCCAAGGGCCTCATCCTTTGGTGGACCCATTGGCTGCTGGCCCCCCTCTGGCACGGTTCCCCTACCCACCTGGTGCCATCTCCAACCCCCTACTCAGTGAGTTACCCCATGAGCATGAAATGCTCCGCCACCCTCTGTTTGGTGAGTCACCAAATAGACTCTCTGTTTCACATGTAGTATTAAAGAAAGTTTAAAGTTAATTCTGAATAATTTACATTTCCAACCCGTATAGCCAGGCTTAAACAATGTCCACTGCTAAGCAGTGAAACATCCTGCCCTTTGTTTAGCCATATCCCATCACTTGCATGAAGTCACTTTCTTAAAGTAAAATAAAATATTACGCTTTCAGCAACCAATAAGAATGTAGTACTTGGAATGGAATTCATATTAAGATTAATATTTAATATTATTTCTATTTTAGTCTGTGAGATTTTTTTTAAAGTAGTGTCTTAAAATCAAGGCTACGTTTATTTGATCAAAGGTTTATTTGTTTTAAAATAACTTTTTAATTCTAATATATTTTAAAATGTCATTTATTCCTGAGATGGCAAAGCTGAATTTTCAGCAGCCATTACTCCAGTCTTTAGTGTCACATGATCCTTCAGAAATCATTCTAATATGCTCATTTGGTGCTCAATAAATATTTCTTATCATTATCAATGTTGAAAACGTTGCATCTTAATATTTTTTTTGTGGAAACTGATATATTTTTCCAGAATTCTTTGATGAATTGAAAATGAAAAGAAAAGCAATTATTTGAAATTTAAATCTTTTGTAACTTAATGTATACTATACTGTATATAATTTAATATTAATACAAACATTGTTCAAAAAGTGTCTATAGATTCTGTCTGGCCTGCCTTTTGCTGATGATAGTAATCAGTGACTTTCATTACTCAAATAGCCAAAATGGCTGAAATGTACATCCTTAATGTAATGCAGTAATGTTTGTCAACCCGTTGTTGCTTTATTGTTGTCTCACAAGACCATCCAGCACCTACATACACATTACAGTCCCACGGTAGGAAATAGCTCTCAGCAATTTGAGGGAAGAATAACTGAAGTAAGATATTCTCTCTCTTTCTTTAATAGGAGCACCATTCCCTAGAGAGTTACCAGGACCCCTGGCTCCTATGTCGGCTGCGCATCAGTTGCAGGCGATGCAGGCACAGTCAGCAGAGCTGCAGAGGCTGGCACTGGAGCAGCAGTGGCTACATGGACATGCACACTTACATAGTGCTCCTCTCCCAAGCCAAGAAGACTACTACAGGTGAACCACAGAGACCTTAACGTTCTGTTCAAGAGTGCATGTGTAAATAAGCACTTAGCAAGATGTTTTGATGAAAGATTCTTTAAAGTAGCATGTACAGAAAAATGATTTACAATAAGACTAGAAACAAAAACAGTTGTTTACCTGTTGTCACTCCACAGTACACTTAAAAAAAATTTTTTTTATATATATAAATGTTACCTGTTTACTTGGATCCTTAAATGACAACATGTTGTTCTGTTGTCTCTTTGACAGCCGTCTGAAGAAAGAGGGAGACAAGCAGTCCTGAAATGAACAAATCCTCCACTGTGGATTACAGAGTGATTCTGTGTTCAGGGTATCAGACCTTATATTTCAGAAAACCCAGCGTGGGGTTATCCCTGTTTTGGCACTTATAAACGTTTGACCGACTCCTTTGTGCTGTATGAAATAACTAGCCTTTTGGAGCACACTGAATTTTCTTTCCTTGCATGAACACTATTTAGAAATTTCTGTAATTTAGAAGTTTCTGTAAGAAATGAAATTCCCATGTAATGTCATTATTGTGCTAAAAGCACAATATTGTAGATTTACTAAGTATTTGAAAAGTGCTGTCCAATATCCAGAGTTTATCACAATTTAGTTTCAAAGTTTACTGAAACGCTTGTTTTAAGATTGTAAATATTATACGTTTAAAATAATATATTAACTGTTGAAATGTAAAAGTTGCAATGATAGATTTGGATACAAAAACTTCATATGACTTGTGTGCAAGAAGTGCATGCTTTACATACTCTGTCCTTCCCTTTCTCTGACAGCCTCTTCATCTTTACCTCAGAGTGCTCATCAATATACAGTAAAACCCACATGTATTAAACTCCACAATACCTTATTCTTTCAGCAGTTTAGCTTTTTTAATTTAATAATGTAGACCAAATGCAGGCTGGGTATTAGTATGATGACTGTAGTGTTGTCTAGCTCTGCAGAACAGTTGCTTCACTGCCTTGGTCATACGATGCTGTGGAAGACTGATCAGGCCGACAGTCACCTGCTTGCAGTGTTTACTGCCATGCTTAAGGACACAATTTGATAGAGCAGGTCAGTTCCTGGGTCAACCCTACTTGGCACAGAAGTTTAGGAAGTTCATTTATAAAGAGGTACGTGCACTTAGCAATAAAATGCTCATGGCATATCTGATGGTATCCTCACTACCAGCTTCAATCCTAGCATGTGCACATGGCCAGTTAAACAACTGGGCTACTGCTGAGTAAGTTACATTTTCATAGTCATGCTGGTTGGGAAAGAGCACAGCATTCTCATAATAAGATGAAATTCATTATAAACTCAATAGAGAGAGAAAGAGTCATTTTGTGATGCTTTACTGCAATACAAGTGTATTGTTGTTCACTACTATTAATTGTTAAAACAACAATAGAAAACATGAAATGGAGTGCCATTGTTTTGTATGTGTTGAAGCAGACAGTTGAAGAGTGTTATCTGTTAATGATGTTATTGTGGAACTTTGATTGGTCACTTTTTTCCAAAACTGCCAAAAAGTCATTATTTTGTTCGAGTTAACACTAATCATTTGTAGTAGCATTTTACAAAGTATATGGATATTTTTCTCATATTTGGATATAATTTCTCATTTTAGTATCCATGTCTTTATGCATACTTGTCTTCACATGCACAGTATTGTCTGGTTGCAATTACCTTACAGTTGGAATTTTTCTCAAAACTTTAATTTCAATGATAAATGCATGCTTATTACAAACGGCTTGAATCATTTTTACTCATCCATTAACACAAACTCGGATCTTTTAATTTTTTTCATCAGTACATTTTCTTTTAGTAATATATTAGTTTTTTGTAAGCATAATTTTTGAGGCTGTTTTATATACATTTATCACACTGACATCAGTCTTTGCTTATGTGTGATATAAATATTTGACATTCAGCAGCAGTCATATTTTTCTGGCACTTTCTGATACCTCCTTAACTTCCAACTATATTTTATGTGCAAATTTATATTCTTCATGAAATGTGCTCAAATCGGTTTCTTCACTGAAAAACTATATGAACTTTTTTTTAAGCTTTGGCCACATAATTTTTTTCTCATTTAATAGATACATCTAAAGTGATTATCATTGAAAATGTTTTTTATATGTACACTGCAAAATAGTTTACTTGTGAATTACATAAATATGTATAGAACAGCTTGAGTCCAGAATATAACTGATGCAAAACTTGCCAGTTGTCATTTCTGGTCCATATCAACATAATATCTAAAGCAATATATGTCTTCTAACTGAACAAGTGTTTGTACGGGGAAAAAAAAAATATTTCCTCCTTTGCTTTGTATGCTTTTCTTTAACAGAATTGTCCTTTGATAAGTTATTTATTGATTGAACACCTATTTTGTAACATGAATATATTAAACATGAAAATATTAGACTGTTAGTAAATATGGAATACAATCTAATATGTGTATTTACTAAAGTGTTTGTTGTGAATTTGTGCAAAATTAACCCTTTCATGTACACTGGCCCCTTGTGAGAAATCCTCAGAAAGCTCTAATACTAGATTTTTATGGTTCATCCTTCTTTTACGTATCGCCGCAAGTACTGGATGGCAGATATCGCGCTCACGTTTGCCAGAAGAGCTGAGAAATAATAGAGGGAAAAAGGATCATGTTAATTTTGTGTGCTCATATTATCTGAATAAATTGCCTAATTTAATATGTAACAGCCTTATCATTGTGTCTCGTTGCACAAATGCCTCATCCTCATGCTGGTTTTACCTGCTTTCCACATGTCTGTAGATTGTGGGTTGCTTGATTTTAGTACCCAAGACGCAAAAGCAATGCAAACAAGGCACATGTCTGTTTGCTTTAATAAAAAAAGAGCACGATCTCTATCTGTAAGCAGAAGTTTGCAATGTTAGACTTGACATTTTCATTTTTATTTAATCTAAAAAAAATAAATAAAATGCTCTTAAGAATGTACCTGCGTCTGCGACCGTTGCCCCAACACGTATCTGATATTCTGTCACTTGTCCAAGGGCCTGGTTCTCTAGAAAAAGCTCTTGAAGCTTTGGCTGAGCTATAGAAGAACTTGTAGTTCTCGTTCTATAACCGTAGACTGTGTCAGCTGTCTTGGGAAAACCCCAAGAGGTGGCCATCCTACACCAGGTCCTTCCCATTAAAAGTTTGGTGCGTCTCAAAGAAAGGTTTCTCCAGGTACTAGTGATAAAGCAAATGTTTGATGTTTCAGAGGGCTTTGCACACCTCATAACTCGGATTGGGGTGCTCTTGTCTTCACAATCCAACGGTATCACCTCTTCTACCTCTGGATATTCTAGGTCTTTCACCACCGAATGAGAAGAGGAATAGATAGGAACCAATGTTTTCTCACTCTTTGTTGAAACTTGAATTGAAGGAAAGAGAAAATTTCCAACTTCAAAGTCTGAGAAGAAGTCATCGTAAGTCTCAGCCACAGATAAGTTCTGTGAAAAACAAAGCGAAGTGCTTCTATCTGGGATACAACTCTGGTGTTGTTCTGCTTCGGTGTCACTTCTCAAGATTTCGAAGAGAGTCTGCAGACACTGATTGTCTAGAATATCAGAAATCGATAAAACTGGTGAAGACGTTGATCTTCTTGTGTTACAATGGTCCAGTAGAAAGGCATTCATGTTCTTGTCCTCTTTAGCTATTAGAAATATGTCCTGCATCTCTGCTTCTGTCTCTGAATACAAATATAGTGAGGGATCACTCTCAGGACACAGCTTCACCATCTCATTTGATTCACTCTCTGAATCCATGCCAGACTCAAAAAACATTTGGGTTTGCTCTTTGCCTTCAAGGGGTTCAGGGCTAGGGTTTGCACTTGCATGAAGAAGCTGTAGAAACTCTTCATCGAAATCAGAGTAAGTTGAGAATTCACAGCTTGATCGGTCTGGTTTAGAGTCATCCAAATGTGTGAAATAGTCTGAATCTGCTGCATCATCTACCAGGCCATCTTCTAAACTATCATCTTTAGATTCCATCTCACCCCTATCTAAAAGATGAGCGTTGACAGTGACCACAGGGCTGCTTTCTTCTGGAGTTATGCTTTCTGTCCTGTTATTGGCTGTTCTAAGTTGCAAAATATCATTTATTGTCAGTTTTTCCATTTCATCCCAAAAGGAGGAAATGGCAAATATGGGTGGAGTTGGACCTGAAGTCTTGGCACTGTTACTAGAGGATTGTGTCTCTTGGGATTCTTCTCTATTATAAGACTTTCCCAAGGGCTCTTGCTGTTCTGTTTTTTCTTCTTTAGTATTTGAAGGAGCAGTGGGTTTAGAGGCACCCAGAATAAATCTGGGACTTTCCACCTCTGTGTCATTATTAAACTGGCTTAAATGATCAGTTGTATGTTGACATTCACAGTTCATTTCTACTACGGATTTGTCATATTTATCACACACTGCGCTTTCATGATCACAGTACTGTGGCAAAGAGCCAGTAAGATCTTTAAATATGGTCTGTGGCATCTGTTTGGGGGTTAAAAGTGAATTTAGAAAGTCTGCAGGATTTTTTTCTAATTTTGCTTCTGGCATTTCTGTCATGCTTTCCTTTTTTAGACTAATAGGAGAGCTTGTTTTTTCCTCTTCACCCTCAGATGATCCAGTGGGTGAAATACATTTAATATCTTGGATATCAAGCACATTTTGAATATTGGGTGAGTAAAAATAAATATTTTCTTGTTCAAATTTCTCCTGCGTTATTTGTCTCTCGGTAGTTTCTTTATCTGGTTTTGCATTGTTATTTAAGGAAGAGCACTTCTCCATCACTCCGGTATTCTGTCTGAAGTTTTTAGAAGGTTTTTTTTTCCTTCTTTTTTTTTGGACTGAGGTGGGATCCTTTACTGTCAGACGGACTGGGCTGTCATTTACAGTCACAAACCAACGTTCCTTCTCTTTTTTGGCCACTGTTGAACAGCCTGTCATTTCAGTTAACATTTCTATGCCATCTATACTCTTTTCATGCTTTATTTCTTCTATAGACATTTCAGAGACTGGCGTGTTTGTGGCTTGACTTAATTTATTCTCACCATTGTCCTTATTCTCACAATTTCCTCTTAATTTCTCTAAGTTTAACTTCTCAGTCAGGTTGCTGTCTTCATATGTAGCCCCCGATTCATTTGCTCCAGCATCGGACATCTGCTCAGCAAACCTGGTATTCTGTAGCTCTGAATTAGGACTAGGATATTCAGTAAACTCTGAATTCTCTCCTATTTGATGCTGCTTTTGTCCTTCTATGCTGTCTTCTTCACAGGGTTGGTCAGGGCTGGCCTGGGTGGGAACAGATGACACGTGGACAAAGGTTTTGTCATCGTCAGTGTCACTGAAGCCAGACTCATCTAAGGCTGCAAGCTTAGCCTGCTGAACAGAACATTCCTCACTCTCTGTACAGAAACAGTCCCAGTCCTGCTCTGCTATCAGCACACTATGGTCTAAGTCATCCATTGCAGTTGAGCTCAAAAGGTTTGGTATGACATCTGGAAAAAAAGAAAGAAAAAGACAATTATATAATAATAATAATTTTTACCAAAATATATACACTACCGTACAAAAGTTTGGTGGTCAAAATTCAATTTAATGCATCATTGCTGAATTAAAGTATTAATTTCAGCAAAAAAAACTTGAACAGTAATGTGTTTTATTCAGCTGATCAGTATAGACTGCATCTTTCAATTTAGTTGTACAATTTTCATGTTTATTTTAATATAAAAACCATCATTCATGCAAAAATTTGACCCAACAAGAGATGAAATTGCTACAGTTAAGCTCAAAGGCATCAAAAAAAAAAAACATTGGACATCTAAAAATAATTTAAGAATCATAAATTATTGCATGAAACTTTCCCAAAACAAGAGAAACAGTTTGATTTCAGTCAGACTATATTTAAAATGTGTTATACATTTTTTCATGCATTTGCGTGTAAACCTAATTTAATATGTACTGTAGGCTTTTGGTTAAAAGTTAACATGAATGACAGATGCTAACATTATCACTAATAGCAACCATACAAGATTTTATTATGGTTGTGAGTATTTTTATTTTTTACAAAAGTTACAAAATAAAATTGTAAGACTCAATTGAAAAATCAATATTGTAAAGCAACATTGTACAGAAAACAAGTTTCAGTTGTTCAAAAGACAAAATTTCCCAATATATTTTTCAGTAGGCCATTCTAACGCAGGAGAGCCCAAACTCCTTTTCAACAAATTAAATGAGAAATATACTTTTGTTTCAAAGTAACTCAAATTCCGAAATATTTCAAACAAAACACTGCTCAAACTGTCTCCAAAGCCCCTGTGAGGATGATCTTGGTCATTTTTTACAAAAGTTACAAAATAAAATTGTAAGACTCAATTGAAAAATCAATATTGTAAAGCAACATTGTACAGAAAACAAGTTTCAGTTGTTCAAAAGACAAAATTTCCCAATATATTTTTCAGTAGGCCATTCTAACGCAGGAGAGCCCAAACTCCTTTTCAACAAATTAAATGAGAAATATACTTTTGTTTCAAAGTAACTCAAATTCCGAAATATTTCAAACAAAACACTGCTCAAACTGTCTCCAAAGCCCCTGTGAGGATGATCTTGGTCTGACTCAGGCCCGGTTCTTAAGCGCTATAGAAGGGTGGGCTGGCAGATATCCTGGGTGGGCAATCCCGTCCATAAGCGAGGTTTTTAGAAACATAATTCAACTGCTCAGGTCATTTCAGTGGTAGGCACATATTCATGTAGATACGTATTAAACTGCCGTAATTCGCACACTGATAGCGCGCAAATATTTCTGCCCGTTTTCACTCGTTGTCAGCCTCTGCTATTCCGCAACAGACTGAAGCCTCCGCGGGAATGTAGCGCGCCTTTGCTTTCAGCTAAAAGAAAAATTATGCATTTTCTGGTGTTATTTTATGATTGTTGGGCAGTCTTCAGCTCTTAAGCATCTCAAAATACAGTCCGCATCAGATTGCTTTTAATCACTGCATAAAAAGTTTAACGCGATCTTTACCTATAGTCATAAGCGTAGCTTGACGTTTGAGTTTTGAACTCGGGCAAACCGAACCGATGGATTTGGTCAGACGTACTTTTAAACACATTTTAGTTTTGCTATAGTAAATCTACATATATACGTTATAAACACGTTTAAAATGCACAATAAACATGTCTGTCAAAACGATCTCAAAGGAGGCTTTTATTAAGCAAATCAAGGAGTGAATTACTCATCCACTGTTTTTAAAACAGACATTTGTTGGGCTTGATTCAAGTTAATGCACAATGAGGAGCATACTTTTTATTTAGTCTTATTGAATAGACGATAAACAGTTTATATTCTAAAATCTATTTAAAGGTTGTGTTCTGTGAAAATTAAATAACATTTGGATGTAAATGGTCGGCATAAAAGTAGTGTGTGGCTAAACCAGCTGCGTCCTGTCGATCACCTTTATCTGATTGTCCGGGTCCGGAATCATTAAGCACGGCATCAATATCTTCATCTGAGTTTTTTGTTGTCTCCAGATTTCTCTGCAGTTCGTGTATGTTGTTAAAAACGCGGAACATCATGTTATTCCACACAACAGGCAAGCATTACCGTTAAGTCTATTATCCACCAAAATGCAGATTCGTCACATGACAATTCTTACGCAAATGAGATTGAGGGAGACGTTAAATTTGTTTTGATTTATTAATTTACTTACAACAACAATGTAAAATTTATTAATTTTTACGTATTCTCTTTTACATGTATTATTAACTGCATTATATGCAATTTTACTTCATAGAAAAAACTTTATAAATAAATATTTAGTAAAATTCTTAAATCGCTATGGGGGAGCCAGGCCCCCCCACAAGCTACGCCCATAGTTCTATTTGGGCTCAGTGTAGTGCCGAAATTTGCACCCTGCCAGATTATGCACCCCCTAGTATTGGTAAATTTAGGGTTAGGTGTGGGGGAGGGGTTAGGATTAGGGGTGAGGTTGGGATTAGGCAATCAGGTAGCGACTTCAACGAGGGGGTGCATAATCTGGCAGGGGTGCAGAATTCGGCACAACACCGGCCCCAACTCACTGCAAGGTGATTTGTGTATTGAAAGATGTCAGTGAGAGGAAATTATGTGCTGTTTGGGTGACTTGCCCTTTGCAAATATTTTGCATGGTCCAATTGCTTAGACATGACATAGATGTGTCTCTTGATGCCAAGAATGACAATCATGTTTTACAACTTTTTAGTGGTAAACAGTGTTATCTTATCTAGCTTGTGGGACATTTTCTTACAAACACACGTGGAGATTCATATAGTATTAGGATAATGCATTCAGTTATAGGCTCATTTTAATTTTTTCTTTCCCAGGAACATCATAACTGTTTTGCAATTATTATTCAATTCAGCCATCTTAAAACACAAACTGAGTCTTTAGTTCTTTATTAGCTTATGAATATTAATAATACCCTGTGCAAGATGTCCTTTTTCATTGCGTACATGGTTAAATTCATTTGGTACAGTAGCTCACAGCACAGGCCAATGGAAAATATTTCCACAAAGTTCTAGCTCCGCAAACTCTGCATCTAGTCAGCTTCCATTAAAAATCTTTTCAACATCTCATTTCTTTTATGTTTTTCCTACCTTTAGTCGTTAGTTATGCATTCGAAACACTTCAATGTTGATCCGATACTGGCATGGTACACCTTCAAAAAACCCACTGCCCTTGCGTGTGGGAGAGAGGGGCCCTACGTCCAGGTCTGTTATAAATAGAGCTATGTGTCTGATCACATGGAAGTGTGCATGTGTCTTGCATTCTCAGAGGGGCACTCCATTTCACATTTATAAATAGGGTTTCTCTGGGGAGATGGTATGAATCTGTCAATGATCAGCTAAGATGCTATTCAAAAAAGGGTTAAATCCTTGAACAACATGCTGGACGGAAAATCCTTAGCTTTTATGGTTTTCAGGAAGTAACACTGTGAAAACAAGTTAGGATCAATCACCACTTATCTATGGTAATAAAAGTCTGACAGTGTTATATAGTGTCATGAAATATTACTGTAAATATATTAGAATAATATTTCTAGTATATTATTTAGTTAATAACAGAGAAATTTACAAAAAAACTGCAAAAATATCCTAGTGGAAAAAAAATACTAAAATGCATTTGCTAAGTATACTACAAATACATTTACATATTTTTTGTGCTTAATAAAAATACCGTACAATTGTATTTTTGGTATACTAAACTGGTCTACTTCAAGTGTGCTAAATAAACGAATTTCATGCTTAATGCACTTAAATTGTGCAGAAGTAGTGCTGATGTCCAACTAAAGATATACTATGTGATTGTGCTAAAGACTATCGCAAGTACAGTATACTTCAGGTACACTTTTAAATATCTTGCATTTAAAGACTGATATTATACAGAAATCATACAATCCTTATTAATAGTGATATTAAAACCCATTTTAGGCATAATATTAATAAATGTGCATTGTGCAATAAAGAAATACTCCAAATAAAGTTTAATTATAATTTTATATCAGTAAGTCTTAAGTGATATGACAATAAATGTTAATGGATTTGAAGTATACTATTTCATATATTTTAAATAAATAATGGAATAGTTTTAGGAAATAATTAATTTGCAATAAAAATACGTTCATTTAGTGAAAATATACATAAACAGATATAGTGAGAAACTTTTAATAAATAGAGATTTGATACATTTGATTTAAATATTTTTTATATTTTACAAAATAAATTTTCCTTTTAATACAACCATTTTAAAAACTCATTATACATGTCAATATACATGCTTAATTAATAAAAAAATTTTTTTTGCAAATAAACACAATAAATTGTAGGCTTATTATTTTGGTTCCAGCCAAAGCAATCAAACCTGCAAGCAGGATCCTATTAAAAAGTGTCAATTATAAAAACTTTTACCCTGGTGTTTATTTTGTTCATCTGTTTTAAACAAAGAAAATAATTTTAAATATTTACAGTGGCATTTAGGAAGTATGTGATATGACAATGAAATTTCGTGCAACAAATTTTAAAAGTTTAAATGAGAAAGTAGAACTTTAACCAAAACAGGTTTCCTGTCGAATGAAGCTGTAAAGGTTGTGGCTGCGGTTTCAGCTGATCAATCATACTTTTAGACTGTAGCCCATACAACCTGAATGTCATTTGCAATTCATGAAATTTAAACTGTTTCCAGGTTTGAATAAAAACTTCTTGTGTCCACCTGTGTGTCTTAGGTACCGACTGTAGGTCTGGGAGAATTGAGTATAGCTGGTGATCGTCCGAAGCATTGTGACATGGAGTTTGAGATGATAAAGCACTGGAGGGGCCACAATATAACAAATAAGACCACAAGAAGCACTATGATGAAGACCACAAGCCTCTTCCAGTTTCCATAAAAACCCAAGAATCGCAGCAGCCTGTGTCCACTGCCCTCTCTTCTCTCCTCTATTCTCGGCGTCTCCTCTGGTTTATGCTCCCCGATGTCAATGCAGACACAGTTGGATATCATAGGGTTTGAGTAGCACAGCCTCTTTCCATCTAGAAAAACATTCTCCACTTGTTGCTGGTCGCTTGGAAGTTGGCCCAAAACTTCCTGGCTGGTGGCCAGATCTGGAGGACCGTGCTCAGGCACGGATGTTGGCCGCCGACAAAGAGGGCAGGTGATCTGGGTACCCTCCTGCTCTGGTGAAATAGTCACAAAGCGAGACAGACATTCCAGACAGAAGGTATGGGTACATTCGAGAAGCTTCGGTGTCTTGAATGTGTTGTCGTATGCGCAAAAGCAGATTGAACACTCCGGACCGGCATCCCAGGCATTGTCCTGGTCATCACCGGAGACCAGTGTCTTGTGTTGGTGCCGTATTGAATTGGTATGTGATGCTGTAGATACTTCCGGTTCCTCCATCCTGTTGTGTGGTCAGAAGAAAATCTGAAATACAAAATTAATTGTAACTGAATGAATGAGAAAAGAGCAAAATCCTATTTGAATTTTATAATCCCAAATGGTCATATGGACAGCTAGCAGTATCTGACATAGCAAATAACAACCACATGAAAGTGTGGTTGCTATGGACATCATTAATGCCATGCATATGATATATATATATATATATGAAGGTGATGCTGAGACAGAACATATGCAAATATTTTTTAATACTGTTTCAGACAAGGACTGTTATGATGCATATCATTTTACATTTTAATCAGCATCACATATACTTGTTCATGATGAACAGGTATATGTGATGCTGATTAAAATGTAAAACACTTACTTGTTTTTACATTTTTTGTACTGTGACTAGACAAGTAGCCTATACACATCTCCAATTTGGATCAAAGGAATTGCCACAACAAATGCTAATATTAACAGTTGCTAAATTTGCAATTGATTCACATTAGCTCAACAAACACATGGTTATACTGCTGATCCAACAAAAAACTGTTTTTTTGTTTGTTTGTTGGGGCAGTGTGAACCGGGGGAAAAAAATAAGAAAAAAGTATTACCTTAAAAGAGGAATACAGTATTCTTCTTTTTATCTTGTTGATGATTTCTTCTTCTTCGTGTAGATGGGTTCAAAATAAAGGCCAAAATTTGAAAAGGTCTTCAAAAATTTGAAGGTCTTTCTCCAGACGTGTCTGTCTTGGTCTTCCGGTAAAGTGTAACTGCCTTCACAAGTTTGAATTATACTTCTGAGCTGTGACTCAAATGAGTTAAACTATAAATCATTACCTTGTTCTCCCTCTCTCTCTCAGATACTCAACCCCTCCTTCACACATACACTGTCTGACACACGTACCTGTGCAAATTATGGAAAAGCAGGAGGGATGACAAAGAGAGGGAAGAAGGAACTGGTTTTCCGACAAGATTAGGTTGCGCTTAGTCATTGTATACCCTGGTTAACGTAAGAATGACAAAGCATAGCAAATAATGTTTTACACAACTTTTAAAGCACATTCATTCACAGCATTGTGAATTATTCAGATTTTAATAGTTTAATCAAGTTACAGTAGGCAGGCGCTACAACTGAATATTTTGTCACACATAAAAATGCATGTATTTTTTTAAGTAATAGTTCACCCAAAAATGAAAATCATTGTTTGCAGATCCTCAAGTTCCAAACTGGTATGAGTTTATTTCTTCTGTTGAGCAATATATTTTGAAGAATGACGGTAACCAAACAGTTGAGATATTTGAAGTGTACCTGAAGTATACTTGCAATAGTTCCTCTTTAGCACAGTCAAATATACTTAAATAAATCTTTAGCTGGACTTCAGCTTTACTTCTACACAATTAAAGTTCATAAAGTACAAAATTAGTTGTTCCAATTTAGCAGACTTTAAGTATACTAAAAGTACAAGTGCAGGGTATTTTTTACTAAGCACATAAATATGTAAATGTATTTATAGTATACTTAGCATGAAATAGATGTATTTCAAATACATTTTAGTATATTTATTTTTCACTAGGGTTGACTTCCACATTGTGGAAAAATTCAGTTTGGTTATTAATATTCTTCAAAATGTCTTCTTTTGAGTTCTATAACACTAAGAAACTCATACAGGTTTGTGTGAGTAAATGATGACACTAGTTTCAGTTTTGGTGAACTGTCCCTTTAACGAAAGGGGATCTTCTAAAAAATGTTGTTGACAAACTACAACAGTCTGCATGGTAATTGTTATTCATCTGGTTGCACAAAAACAATGCTTATGGGAACTGATAAGACATTGCATGTGCATAAAAAAACATAATGCTAAAGAAATCGGCCACAAATCAACAATAAGTCACGTGACTGTTTGATTGAATATATTACCACTCTCTGTCTCACATGGAGATAAGCAGCCAGGTATAAGGAAAATGGCTGGGATATGTTTACATGTGCAACAACAGTCACGTTTTGTTTTTTTCACTGAGGGTGTGTGCAGTAACTTGTGCTCCCTTTCGATACTACACTCGTACACGACGCATATGGGAAAAAAAGCCTTTTTCTCCTGAACTGAAGCCTTTTAATTCACGCAGTGAAACTGCACAGCCATTGGTTCGTGCAGTGTATTAAAAACGAACCAATGGCTAGGCAGCGGAGCTGCACGAGCTTATGGCGACGAAGCCCGCCAGAATGGGTGTGGCATCTGGCTATGTAAGCGGGCGTTCGCCACATGATTCTCAGATTTCTTCTGCTTCAGCGACGACTCTACGCCCTCAAGCTGATCCGAAGCCGCATGCCATTGACACGCCTTCGCAGCTGGAATCGGGACCTCTCAGCACGGCTGACCTGCTTCTCTACTGCGCCAGCGACTCAGCAGTTCCGGTCCGTTTCCCCTGCCGCCATCCGGTGATATTAAAAGAGCTTCTAAAAGAGCAAATTGGCGTTGTTGCAAATGCCATGCCGTTACTACGGTTTGTGCGGGTCTCCCCTACATGCCGATGACACGAACCAATGGCTAGGCAGCGGAGCTGCACGAGCTTATGGCGACGAAGCCCGCCAGAATGGGTGTGGCATCTGGCTATATAAGCGGGCGTTCGCCACATGATTCTCAGATTTCTTCTGCTTCAGCGACGACTCTACGCCCTCAAGCTGATCCGAAGCCGCATGCCATTGACACGCCTTCGCAGCTGGAATCGGGACCTCTCAGCACGGCTGACCTGCTTCTCTACTGCGCCAGCGACTCAGCAGTTCCGGTCCGTTTCCCCTGCCGCCATCCGGTGATATTAAAAGAGCTTCTAAAAGAGCAAATTGGCGTTGTTGCAAATGCCATGCCGTTACTACGGTTTGTGCGGGTCTCCCCTACATGCCGATGACGGCCACACTGAGTGCTTGGGGAAATCCCATGGGGAAGCTGCGCTCACAGGAGCTATTTGTTCCCACTGCAGAGCTTCAGTCTCGCCTCTCTCTGCTCACGGATCACTTTCTTTTCAGAGAGCGACTCTGCCCCTTGCGCCCTCCTGTTTTCTTCCTCCCAGGAACCAGTGAGGAAAAAACAGCAGGGCAGAGGGGTCAAGCGACTGGCTGCGAGTGGGCCCACGTCGGCCCAGATCCCGCGTGCCTCACTCTCGCCCCAGAGAGAGTATTCCCCCATCCTTTTCTCCCGGTCTAATCAGCATCCCTCTGCTGGTGCGAGCGACCTGATCTCATTTGGGGGAAGTGAGGACTGCTTGATGACAGCATGTCATTGGCAGCATCGGATGCAGAGGAGCTGTTGGGCTCGGTGAATGACCCCACCCCCTCGCCATCGTCTGCGCCCAGCGCCACCAAAGACTGGATGGATGCCGAGCTTCACCGTATCCTCTCCAAAGCGGTTGAAGAGCTGGGTTTAGAGTGGTCTCCGCCAGAGGAGCCCTCTCGCAGCCGTCTGAATAAGTGGTTTCTTGCTGGGGCGCCACCAGGCCTCTCGTCAGCATTCCTCTGTTTTTCCAGGAGGTCCATGACGAGCTCACCAGATCGTGGCGCGCTCCCTACTCCGCCCGCCTCCGTACTGTGTCTTCATCTGCCCTCACTTCCATCGACGGCGCTGAAGAAAAGGGGTACGATAAGGCACCTTCCCTAGATGAGTCAGTGGCCGCGCATCTCTGCCCGCCCATGGCCATCGGCTGGAGAGCAAAGGCCGCTCACCCATCCAAGCCGTGTAGGTCCACTTCAGCTCTCGCTGGACGCGCCTACACTTCAGCTGGACAGGCGGCTTCGGTGCTTCATTCAATGGCGGTCCTCCAGGTTTTCCAGGCCAAAATCCTCGCATCCTCCGATGAGTCTGGCCTGGACCCTGCTAACCTCAGGGATCTGAGGAGCGCAACCGACCTGGCTCTGCACGCCACCAAGACCACCGCCCAGGTGATCGGGAGATCGATAGCCAGCCTTGTGGTGCTCGAGTGCCATTTGTGGCTGACGCTGACAGAGATTAAGGACGCGGTTAAGATCCCCTTCCTCGATACTCCAGGCTCTCCCAAAGGCCTTTTCAGCCCGGCAGTTGAAGGATTTGCTAAGCGCTTCACGGAGGCACAGAAATCATCCCAGGCTATGCAACATTTCCTGCCTAAGTGCTCCAGCTCCGCTGCTGCCTCTGCTCGCCCTAAGTCTGCGCCGACTCAGCAGCCTGCGAAACCAGCACCTGCCCCGCTAAAGCTCAGCAGACGCGGAGACTCTCTCGCTCAGCCAAACACTACCCTCTTCCTAAGCGCCAGGGACCCCGACCCAAGATTACGTTGGGCCCGGCACCTCAGGCGTCATCCTGATCTGCGAGATAGAACGAGGACGGGGTCAGATCTCGCTATGGCTGGACCGCCCCTCAAGCAGCCTTTCTTAGACCTCTTGACATCCCGTTCAACTCCGGGTACAGAGGGAAATGTGTTTTGTGCAAACAACGGGTCCGTTCATGCGCCCAAGAATTCAACCGCTGTGATAGCAGAAAAAATAAAACACAAACATTTTCAAAAAGAGAGCAAACTTCCTCTTCCATTACTCATAGGTGTTCTGCCCCCGTGCGGCCAGTCACCCGAGTTAATTCAAACCCTCGCCACTCGGGCTGAGGCTTGGCAGGCCATCCCCGGAGTGTCGAGATGGGTTATGGGGATAATAAAGCGAGGATATTCACTCCAATTCGCTCGAAGACCCCCGCGCTTCAGCGCTGGGGTCCCCACCTCAGTGCAAAGCAAGGACGCTGACATCCTGCGCTTAGAGGTGATGAATTTGCTGGTAAAAGAAGCTGTGGAAATGGCCCATCCTCAATCTCAGACACCTGTATCACACCCTCATGAAGAGGTCGTTCAGGATGATTACACTGAAACAGATCGTCGCGCAAATTCGCTCGGGAGACTGGTTCTTTTCTCTGAACCTGAAGGATGCATACTTTCACATCCAGATAGCCCCCTGTCACAGGCGATTCTTGAGATTCGCCTTCGAGGGAGTGGCTTTTCAATACACGGTCCTTCCCTTTGGGCTGTCCCTGGCTCCCCGCACTTTTACGAAGTGCAAGGACGTGATTCTCTCCCCTCTGAGACCGATGGGAATCCGCATTCTCAATTACCTCGACGACTGGCTCGTTCTGGCCCAATCAGAGGCAGTTGTCAGAGGCATTAATATCACACAGGACCCTCCTCCTCAGCCACCTGCACTGTAAAATCCAATAGTTTACCTAACTTAGATTTAGGTAGTTATCTTTACTTAGTTGTTATACTAGGTTTTATTAAGTTACAGCTACTTTCAAGGCAAATAAAACAATTTACTTACTGTTTTGAGTGACACTTACTTAAAATATTAAAGTAGCCACAAATGAACCAGTGACATTAGTAAACCAGTGAGAAGCAGCCGTGCACTAATATGTTGCTAATGTGCAACATAACAACAGAAGAAAAGAAAAATAGTCTTAATAAACTTTTCACCCATTTCCTCCATGTCTGCAGTAATCTTTCACTAGTTGCATTAACTCGTTTCCCAAAGTCATCTTGAATGTTGAATTTTCAATACAAATGAAATATTTGAGAGAACATCACATAAGCTAACTTCATAAACTGATGTTGATTTTCCTAAAATGTGTTTTTTTTTTTTAAATTCACCATTATAGTGATTAGCGTTCCCTTTGGTTGGGCACTTTGAACTTGGATTGTGTGTCGATAATTTCTTTCCTGTTAATGCAGTAATGCATTATGAAGTCAGAGTTATTTGATTTCAAACGAAGAAAACTAATAAATACGTTGCATTTAGAAAGTGACCGATCTTCTAATTAAAGCATTAGTGCATTTATTGTGTGTGTTTATTAAATAACTTTTTCAAATTTAATTTTTCATAAGTACCATGAGATGCTTTTATTTGGGTTTATATAATCCTTAACTAGTGTGTGTTAATATGCTAATACAAATGAAATATTTGAGAGAACATCACATAAGCTAACTTCATAAACTGATGTTGATTTTCCTAAAATGTGTTGTTTTTTTTTAAATTCACCATTATAGTGATTAGCGTTCCCTTTGGTTGGGCACTTTGAACTTGGATTGTGTGTCGATAATTTCTTTCCTGTTAATGCAGTAATGCATTATGAAGTCAGAGTTATTTGATTTCAAACGAAGAAAACTAATAAATACGTTGCATTTAGAAAGTGACCGATCTTCTAATTAAAGCATTAGTGCATTTATTGTGTGTGTTTATTAAATAACTTTTTCAAATTTAATTTTTCATAAGTACCATGAGATGCTTTTATTTGGGTTTATATAATCCTTAACTAGTGTGTGTTAATATGCTAAAGTCACACACAGACTTAAACATTCAGCACGTGTATCACAACAATGGTAACAATTCAAGTTAATTTATTTTCATTACTTGTGAATTGCTCAAGAAGTACTCAAACCATTTTATTTGCTCTTTTTGATGTGCTACTACTGACACAAGACAGCAAATAAAATTGTCAAATAAAATCAACAACTGTAAAACAAAGCAACTGTATAATTTATTCATACCGCAATGCACTCTGGGAGTCAGTGAGTAGCTATACTGTCATGAGTAAACCTTAATGAAAGGATCAAGTACCCCCTACAGTTCTTTTTTAGTTACTAGAACTCTTGTGTAAGTAAGCTATACTAACTAAGCATTTGTCAGTACAACATACTATTCCTATTTCACTTTACTTAGTTTTTTCAAGGCAATCGATTTGGCACTGTAAAATCCAATAGTTTACCTAACTTAGATTTAGGTAGTTATCTTTACTTAGTTGTTATACTAGGTTTTATTAAGTTACAGCTACTTTCAAGGCAAATAAAACAATTTACTTACTGTTTTGAGTGACACTTACTTAAAATATTAAAGTAGCCACAAATGAACCAGTGACATTAGTAAACCAGTGAGAAGCAGCCGTGCACTAATATGTTGCTAATGTGCAACATAACAACAGAAGAAAAGAAAAATAGTCTTAATAAACTTTTCACCCATTTCCTCCATGTCTGCAGTTATCTTTCACTAGTTTCACTAGTCACTCTCTGCAGTTGCATTAACTCGTTTCCCAAAGTCATCTTGAATGTTGAATTTTCAATACAAATGAAATATTTGAGAGAACATCACATAAGCTAACTTCATAAACTGATGTTGATTTTCCTAAAATGTGTTGTTTTTTTTTAAATTCACCATTATAGTGATTAGCGTTCCCTTTGGTTGGGCACTTTGAACTTGGATTGTGTGTCGATAATTTCTTTCCTGTTAATGCAGTAATGCATTATGAAGTCAGAGTTATTTGATTTCAAACGAAGAAAACTAATAAATACGTTGCATTTAGAAAGTGACCGATCTTCTAATTAAAGCATTAGTGCATTTATTGTGTGTGTTTATTAAATAACTTTTTCAAATTTAATTTTTCATAAGTACCATGAGATGCTTTTATTTGGGTTTATATAATCCTTAACTAGTGTGTGTTAATATGCTAAAGTCACACACAGACTTAAACATTCAGCACGTGTATCACAACAATGGTAACAATTCAAGTTAATTTATTTTCATTACTTGTGAATTGCTCAAGAAGTACTCAAACCATTTTATTTGCTCTTTTTGATGTGCTACTACTGACACAAGACAGCAAATAAAATTGTCAAATAAAATCAACAACTGTAAAACAAAGCAACTGTATAATTTATTCATACCGCAATGCACTCTGGGAGTCAGTGAGTAGCTATACTGTCATGAGTAAACCTTAATGAAAGGATCAAGTACCCCCTACAGTTCTTTTTTAGTTACTAGAACTCTTGTGTAAGTAAGCTATACTAACTAAGCATTTGTCAGTACAACATACTATTCCTATTTCACTTTACTTAGTTTTTTCAAGGCAATCGATTTGCATGCTTTTTTTAAGTAAGCCCAACTAATTAGATTTTACAGTGTGGAGTGCCTGGGACTCAGGGTCAATTTTGCCAAGAGCTCGTTGTTCCCTAGCCAGCAAATTTCGTTCCTGGGAACAATTTTCGACTCAGCCCAAATGAAAGCTGTAGTCACGCCGGAACGGGCTCTGGCCATACGGAGGCTGGCGACCTCCTTAGAGATTGATACCACTCGCCCTCTGGCCCCTTGGCCTGTTCCGCTGAGACAGGATCTCCTCTCTCAAGCGAATGGGACAATATGGCATCCTCGGCCCGACCTATGGAACCTGCACCTCTGGCCGCTAGAACGGGAGCCTTCGAGCCTCCCAGAGCGAGTCTTAAACACAATTTCGGAGGCTAGGGCTCCATCCACGAGACGCCTCTACGCCTTAAAGTGGTCTTTTTTCTCCGCTTGGTGTCTAAACTGCAGCAAAGATCCTTATACTTCCGATTTGACAGAGGGCTTCCGGTTACGAAGCAAAGACTCTCTAGATGGATAGTAGACTCCATCTCGCTAGCGTACTCTTCTTTGGGCCTCCAATGCCCCATTGGAGTACGGGCCCACTCGACTAGAGGCATCACCTCGTCTTGGGCATGGTCCAGTGGTGTGTCCATTGCGGATATTTGTGAGGCGGCCGGCTGGGCCTCGCCGTCCACATTCGCAAGGTTTTATAACCTGGAAGTCCCGGCCTTGGAGGCCAGGGTCCTTTCCACTTGAAGTGACATGCGCTGCGTAAACAGATCTGGCAGAGCCCTTGGCTGTATCACGCTCAAGTTCTCTGGCATTGTTTCACCTGTTAGCTCTCGACCCCTGTGTGTCTAAGTTACAGGAGAACTCTGGAACGATTAACCAGCCCGTCTTAGCCTTGGGTTGTTGTTAACTTCTCTATGAGCATTGGTTGCTTATGGAAGTTTTATACCTTTAGTCGTTCCACTACATTAGCACGGCGTGATTGTACTGTGTTCCCATATGCGTCTAGCATATTCCCATACTTGTGTAGTATCGAAAGGGAACATAATTGGTTACTAACATAACCTCGGTTCCCTGAGATAGTAACCAGTCAAAGTAACCTGAGAATCCTGTGGCGAATGCCCGCTTATTCACTGCGTGAATGAAAAGGCTTCAGTTCAGGAGAAAAAGGCTTTTTTCCCCATATGCATCTAGCAGACGCAGTACTCGTTCCCGTATCTCAGGGAACAGAATACGTTTTTACTTTATAGTGTACCAAACCGTTGTTGTGACTTCACTTGTGCTGAATGCTTTAAATAATCCCTTAGAAATGCGTATATTTGCACTTGTGTTAAATAGTGAGACATGACAAACATCACAGGACTGAGCTAATGGAAAGACAGTCACATGGTACTTGCTCTATTCTGATACTATTGTGTCTTATAAGGAAGTGCTTATAATATTATAGGTAAATGGGATCAAAGTCCCTCCATCTGTTTACCAAAGACAGCTGTAAACTGGTGATTGGTCACATTCACAGGAGTGCTTTCCGATACTGTTTTTGACAAGTTCAACCTAATATTTTACCATTTTAATAATTATTCTAAAGATGATAACACAATGAAAATACTCGCCAGCAATTAAAATGCTAAAAAGAGTTTTATAACTACGTTGCCCTTACTCTACCACTTCCCAGAACCTCTATATGGCAAATGAGTTTTTAATGATCAACACCAGCCACCACCTGGACTGTTTATTTTGTGCACTGTGGCTCTTTGCATCACCTTTTAAATCACATTTAGCAAGGATATGATATTAAGTAAATACAAGTAAACGGTTTCTCATAAATCAAAATATCTTTTATTTCTGTAAACACTGAAATCTTCATCAAATATGACTCAATATGTGATCAATACTCACTCTGTTAGGACATCAACATACAAAAAAAGTTCATCATCATCAACATCCATCTAAACATAATTCGTTTACAAAATATATTGACATGCTTTCCAGTTGCTGCACAACAGCCAATAAAATAGAGAAATAGGTTGAATTTAAGTGGTTATATTCTAGAATCAGTATCACTGATGTATCTCCACGAAACCACATCATTTACCTTCACCTTAAGTAAACATTCCTAGCTTTTGCTTAATCCAGCATACCAAGGATTTGAAACTTCACAAAACAATGTTCAAATACCCTTCCTAAAATGAAGTAGAAAATGTGTAGAAAAATCATAATCCTTTACATAAACAGAACCATTATTACAAATGAGAAAACCTAAAAATTATACAGAAAATCATAAATATATAGGCATAGGGGATGATATGGCATTTTAAAGGCCACTATTTGCAATAAACAACTACAAAATAAAGTAAAAAAAGGTAACTGACTTTGACTCCTTTTATAGAAATACCAGTGTATCACTCTCTTTATAACACTACAATGATATCAAGCTTTTTGTTTGTTTTTCCAACCAAGAAACAAGATACATTTACTAAACTTCTTTCATAATTTTACATTCCAATTTTGTATAAAATGTCCAAAATCAAAAATGGTGACTATAGGTCTTCATTCATTATCACATTCACTTAATGGCACTTTGTCTTACACAATGGAAAGATGGGATAAATACAGTAGGTAACTGTGTTTGGCAACAGTTTTTCCACTTTACTTATATACTGTGTATTAACAGCAAGTTTGCAAATTTAAGGCCTAGCAAATTTGAATTTATCATTATTTACCTGGGAAAACCTTTGGTGCAAGCCAGAATCTTTTATGTTGAATATAGTGAGGAATGTGGCATTGTTAACAGGTGGATATTTCATGCACACTTGTTAGTAGAACATGAATATGCTGTTAACATTGAAACCCAAGCCAGGAGTATTTTCAATGCTCATACAGGGTATTTTCCAGCATATGTATATGGCATTAATAAGTGCTAATGGAATTTGTGGAAACGGTACAGAATTAATAGAAAATATATATTATTAGTGTATACAGGTACAAAGCAATTATTTTAAATTAATGGTTAATATGTTCATTTATTTATGTATTTATTTATTTAATTTTTTTACTTTGATAAGGTTTGAGGAGTAGGTTGTGTGCAAATATGACTAACTGCGGAAGTCTTTTTTTTTTGGATCCTAGTTTCAATGTCACAAGATTCAAAAGTACAATATTACACAAAAATACTGGTAATAAATATAAACATTACAAAATTCATTGAAAAAACAACTTAATAGACTGAATTATAGCTTAACAATCAAAAATACTCTAGTAGTGCAACACCAGATCTCTTAAAAAAAAAGGAACAACGTATTATGTGAAAAATATATAAATAGAAATAAATAACTGGCTTCAGTGAAGAGAAAAGGTAGATAAAGATAAAGCCTACATCAAGACATATCACTTCTTCATGCTGCCTACAAAGGAAAATTTTACCAAAAAAGTAAATCCTATAAGAAAACCGTGCAATAGGACAGGCTCATGTTTTATTGGGGACTCATAGCTGGCCCTTGGAGGCTGGTCACACATTGTATACCTTGGTTACTGCCCCGGTTGCCACAGTAGCACTGCTGGATGCTGATGTTGCTGACGGCCTCTCCCTCCTGACATATCTTGGTTTGCGAACTGTAGATGATTTAAAAGATAAGGGTCACATTCAACCTACAGTATACATTAAACAGAGCAAGTAAAAGTTTTTAATAATCAGATATTCCCAATAGATGTTTTGGAATTTAGCATAGTTGGACTTAGAATGCAGCACCACTTTGGAACTTTGATTAAATTTAAAATACAGATTATACAGTAGTTAAAATTTCTCCTACCTGAAGATATAGCTTCAGGAATCATGACAGCCTTGTCAGAAAAATGAACAAGTTAGTACTTTGGTATCCACACAATGTTGTGTTTGTTTATATAACATCAAAAATATTTAGACAAAAAACAAATTGATTATAGATGTCTTACCGTCTCACTTGGTTGGAATATAAAAGCTGAAATATAAAAATTACAATTTTACAACCCTCCTATAATTCATCTTGAATAAAAACACTGCAAAACACTACCAATAATAATAATAATAATAATAATACATACATAAAATATCCAACACAGTTGGGTAAACAAAGTCAACCAAAGCTTTAACTGATTTACATATTTAAGGATTTTAAGACTTTTTATTTTTACCCTTATTGCGCCTGTAGAAGACACCAGGGAGGCGGTTGGAACGCTTAAGGTAAAAGAAAGATGCAACCGAGAGGATGAGACCCAGGCTGATCAGTAGAGTTCCTAGAAGGACAGAAGCTGCTACACCTGGACCACCTGCCATTAAAGACACAACGCACAGATGATGAGATTCCTGAGTGCAAATCAATATAGAAATTTTTTTTAAAGCGTTTTTTTTTTTTTTTTTTGGCCTGTCCACATAACTAGCATTAAACAATGGTAGTAACTTACCAATCACTGTGTTTAAAGGTACTGGAATGTGACTAGTCCTTGCTAGAGGAAGATAAAATATATATACATAATATTAATTACATATATATATATATATAACAACGAAATACATCAAAAATAGCCCATCTAGTTTTGTAAGGAATAGCTCACCCAAAAATGAAAATTTGTTGAATATTTACTCCCTGAAATGAACGCTTCTTCCAGTGAATCCCCTTTTGTCCTCTCGCATCACAATCCGCTGCCATATTTGTTTAGAATTTGATTTTTGTCCTAGTAAATGGTGCTTGATTTGTGCATATTTCTCTTCTGATTCCAACGAGGCGACTTTTCACTGGAGAAAGCAATATTAAGGATTATGGAGTAATATTTCAGCCGGAAGCAACGGTTTGAAGTAAAAAAAACATCTTAAATTAGTTTGTTACAAAAATGCTTTTCACTTTACAAAATGTTACTTGATGGGCTGGAGTTATGTGGAGTACTTCTAGATTATTGTGATGTTTTTATCAGCTCTTTGGACTCTCATTCTGACGGCACCCATTCACTGCAGAGGATCCATTGGTGAAGCAAGTGATGTAATGCTAAATTTTAAAGGTTTGGTTAGATGAAGAAACAAATGCATCTACATCTTGAATGGCCTGAAGGGGAGTACATTTTCAGCAAATTTACATTTTTAGGTGAACTATTTCTTAAACATTTCAACAAGCAAGATAGAGGAATGATGCATGCATGTGCATAATATAAATACATCACAAGCAATCTTCTAAAATATAGAGATGTTCTTTAATGTGACAGCACTTACTATTGTTAAGTAAAGTTGAATTGCCCTGCTCTGTTGAGTCACAGGACACACAAAATGTACTGTTCTCCTGAATTTGAAGGAGCCCTAGAGTAGGATTCAAGGTTACAAAATATATAATTTTTTTAATGTGACAGCACTTACTATTGTTAAGTAAAGTTGAATTGCCCTGCTCTGTTGAGTCACAGGACACACAAAATGTTGTACTGTTCTCCTGAATTTGAAGGAGCCCTAGAGTAGGATTCAAGGTTACAAAATATATAATTTATACCAAATGCATGTCAATTACATATAACACTACACAGAAACAAAATGTGCTCATGTGTTAATTTGCTCATGTTGTATTAAAAAGGCACATTTATTTGCAGCTCTGTTTAAATTTTACTAATGATATTACTTTAGAAACATACCAGGATCACAGAGTGTAGTATTCACACAGGTTTCATTCATTCTCTTTATTCTTTCACAACAGTCATTGGAGCTTTCTAGCAGCGCCTGAAACACACGCAAATCCAAAATACATCAAGATTGGAAGAGATCTTAAATTCCGTTTTAGAGCATTACAGTAACCAATGTAGTCACAATAGTTATGGTTCTCACATACTGAATGCTGTGTGAAAAGATTCCTGAAGAGAAAAGCAAGAGATACCTTGGTCTCTGGAATTTCTAACACAAAAAGAGCAGCACTGAAGATGTAGTAGACTCTACTCATGATGAGATTACTCCTGTGGGTTAGATGGAGTCAATATGGATCTGAAACCCATTGTGTTTATGTTCTAAAATGCCACAGTTGGAGACAAGCCGTTTTCTGATAAATGTAACGTTATTTTATATATTTCAATAAAACTGTAGGGGTGAGGTAACATCAAGTGTGAGCCATCAATGTTTTCTGAGAGCATTGCACGACACATCATCTCACGACTAGCCACTTCCGAGGCGTTAATTCTACACTGGTAATGCAGATTTATTTTTCTAGGTCGGTGGGTGTATATTCTCTAAAGAATGGCATTTTACCACCAGTTATTAAGACATACTGTACGACAAACAAGCTACCCCACCAAACAAGTTCTTCAACAGCCTGTTTACTGAGCAGCTGGCTACTTACTTTAGCTTGCTGTATGGATAATTAGGATGCCATGATACAAAACAGTCTATAATTAAAACAGAAGCCATTACTGTTTCGTTCACCGACGACATAAAACAGATTTTATGATATTAAAAACGTGAACTTACCTGTGTTGCGCAAGTTTAAATGTGTCATAAATCTGCTGACCACGGGGCTTTACTTCCCGATTAATAAACTGCACTGCCAAAATACAAGTCTTTCACTGTTGTATAGCTTATTAGACAGCTTTTATTATATCATTTTTTATTAATAATTTACGCTCAGGTTGTGATGCGAATTCTATTTAGTAACTATTGTAAGAAACAGATCTCAGAAATTAATATCGTTGTAAGATTACATATTTTATGACTCATTGTGGCATTAAAAGTTTCTACTCAAAAACATATCGGTGTATTTTCATGGTGAATTTAATGGACATATATGTGAGATGTAGTATCAGAATGAGCTGTTTTACATTTTCTAAACTCTGACTTTTATTATGAAGACATTAGCTTTCGTGATTTTGGTTGCTAGGATACAGTTTATTAACCCTCAACAACGACTCGGTTTATTGGTGAACCGCGATTGATCGACTAGACAGTAACCCTAGACTACCCCCGCACTAAGCTTTTTAATGTCCCAAGCATATAACTAGCAGATTTAGCTACACGAGTCACTGTACAATGCCATCATAATGTCATTATATTTCATTAATAACTGAATAGATGTGTGCAAAAATTGCATACAAACTAAAATGAAATAAACATTAAAAAACTAATATCATTAATTTATACTGTGATACAAACTACAATATTTTCGCTCACATTATAAGTATTTAAATAGCGCCACCTATCGATCTTTCCTAGAAATAATGGAGAAATGTAGGTGTAAATATTTACTGGCTGCGTGAACTATTTAAATTCTGTAGCCCGGGAAAACGGCTGCAGTCTGTTAAAAACCGTAACTGCCAGCATCAACTCGCGCCAGAATTTACTTACGTTGCCTCAGAATCAGTACTGCATATCAAACAAGTACATTTCTGGTAAGCATCACTTATTAGAAATTAACTAACGATTGTTTTCTCGCTAACGTTAGTTAGTCATGAAAGCTAGCTGAGCTTTATTGACGGGAGACGTCGACCTCGCGCGTGAGCCGTCGTTTTTGACATTTGACGTTCGCTCAGATAAATTTTACAATATTTTTGAAAACAAGTCATTGTTTAAATCAAAATACAAGTCCTTTGCAGTAGTTTTGATTTCATGTTTATTATTTCTAGTGGAAATAAATGTGTTGACCCTGAAAGCCTGGAAATGAAGCCCAATGTCTGGAATATAAAGGAGATGTTGAATATCCCCGCAACTTCTGGGTAACGTCTCATAACTGAATTCTGTACTAGAGAATTTGTCAGCTAACTCTTACTTTTATTTACACTTACCCAATCAATTACCTTGAAATAGGGCCTAATAATGTAGTGTTTATATTTATGTTTATGTGTATTGTGCGCTCTGTTTGTTATAGAGGGATAAAAACCGCCAAGGGTCCGGGAACTAGTGACTACTCCAGCCTGAGTGACTCCCAGTTTCTGTTGGGCTCTCAAATGTGGCCTGACAATTCACAAGGGTTTACTCAGGAGATAAGTGGACAGAGCAGAGGTTCTCAGCATACTACCTCACAGGAGGTAAATATTTCAGGCCTAAACTATCTATTTATTTGGTCTGTAGAACATGCCATGTTTTATCTGGTATAATAGAATGAACATGTACTTGATTGTTTTTTTTCCCTTGGTCCACAAAACTTTAATAAATGAAAATGAATGTGATGTTGTTGTGAACAAGTCTGTACAATGTTATAATATTTTACGTTTCATATTAATTCCAAATTGTCTAAATCCTCTACAGATGAAGGAAATGATGGTGTCCAGCAGTTATAGTTCGAAGCCGTTTTTGTTTGGCGGTGATGGCAAAATCTCAAACTTCACCAGTAGCAAATTTGTTGGCATGTTGGACAAATTTGAGGAGGAGAAGAGAAAAGCCAAAGAAAAATATGAAAGGTAATCAGCCTATTTTTAATCCTTGTGCAATTAAAAAACGATTCTATTGTAGTTTCCTATTGTAATTTTTCACGTTGCTTTGGTTCTGTCCTGACATATTGTTTAATATTACCTTTTCCCTTTTTAGGGAAATTCTCACTCATGGAATTCTACAATTGCAGGAATCTCTGGAAAATGTAAGCATTGTACTTAGGGCACACATGCGTGTTTAACACATTTAGAATGTTTATATTGCACAGAGTCATGGTTTCAATACTATAATTGACTTACCTCTTCCCTTTTAGACCAGAGAGACTTTGTTAAATCGCATTGATGGAAGTAATGACATAACCAAACTTGTTATGGAGAAATTGGATACTTTTTCAAAAACAAGTATGTTTTTGTTCCTGTTTTGTTTATTCTTTTAACAATATGCAGATGGTTCTTAACAGTTAGCCCATGCTGGCACCCTAAATTCCACAGATATATCATTAAAGATACTTTTTGATCAGATACAATTTTTTAAAAATAATTTTAAATGTTATTTATTTATAACCTATGACATTGTTGTCTATTGCAGTTGAAGGTTATTTAAACAGTGTGAAAGAAGGTATAACATGTCAGTTTGAGACTCTGCAGAGCCAAACACAAATAGATATGGGAGACAGGGATGCCAAGGTAAGGACTGCACATACTGTATAACAGAGGCAATAGATGCAAAGCTTTCAATAATGTATTTTATTTTGGCATTGGTAAGAAAACCACATTTATTTTCTATTAAACAGAGCAGTCTGGCTGCAGAAGAGTTGAGCTCAGGCATGCTTAACCTCCAACAGGATCTGGAACATCTTAAAGCAGAGCAGAGCAAGGAGCAGGGCATGCTGGGCAAAATTCTGTCTCAGCTTAGTACTTTGATTTCTGTTCACAAGCCGATGACAGGGCCTGGCTCTGCTAGAATGATTGACAGTGAGGTCCAGACATCACCTGGTTTATTAGAGAGGTTCTGTGTCATATCAGCTGAAAAAGAACACGAGAGCAAGATTATATGCAACAGGCCTGTCATTTATTCAGGAAAAGCAGCAGAGCAGAACCAGTGTCCACTCACAACACAGAAGACACGAAACAGAAATGCACACGCTCTGCCTGAAGAAAGACAGCAGACAGTCACAGAGGAGGTTTTCCCTGATGCTTCGCAGAGTTTATGGGGCACACAATTAGTTGAGACCAGACCTTCAAGCCCACATGTGGATGTTCAGTCCACTGCATCCATAGAGGACCATTGGGGACAGAATGTAGACCTGAAGCCTGAAAAACAACTGCATGTGAGAGAGAACCAATTTGTCACTGATGCAATGCCACCACTGAAAGTACCTAAGAGGCGCCAAAAACCACTAAATTATAGGGGGAAAAAGAGAGCCCTGGTTCTCCCACAAAGACAGCCAGTGAGAAAAAAAGGAGCAAATTTCTCAAAGGACAGCCAGCAGAATGAAGACCTTCAGTGTGAACAAAAAGACAGAGTACCTTTAGCTTCTCTTGGTGACAACTGGAAAATGACCAACAAGTCTGTTGCAGAGAATCGCTTAAAACTACAGCAGCAAGCCACCGTAAAACCAGTCAGTAGGTGTGTAGCTGAACAACCACTAAACCCCTTCAGTTTGTGGTCTGAGGACACAGACAGCTCCCAAATGATGGTGGAATACAAGATGTCTGAATGGGAAAATGTGGTGCCTGAACCTAAAGCTAGTGTCATAGAAGGAGAAGGTGGCCTCTGGCAGCTTTTTGACTTCACTAATGACTCAGAATAAGATGCAGAATACTTTCATTCTGTATTCTGATTACACTTACATTTGAGAAATTATTTAGAGTATCTCCTTTGTTCAATTTTTTTTTTTTTTTGTAAGTTAGAACTTGAAATTGCCTGTGAACATGCAAACCTTGTTCTCTAACCACTTTCCTTGCTATAGACATGTTCCTCTTCTGTTGCTTTACCTTGTTGATTCTTTTTGAAGTATGGATTATAAAAACAAAAAGACAAATAGGCAGACTTTGCTACATCTGAAAGAATTTTGTTCTGTTTTTCTCATGCCGTATGACTCTAAAGCAATAACATTCAAGCACATTCTGTAACTTCGGCATGTCATATTCGAGAAATTTGTGCATAATTTTTTTTAGGTCTTACAAATATTTTAGACAACCCTAGCGTAACATCAACAGGTATAAAATAGTTTTAAAATATATTCAACTTTGTTTGCAGTTGGAACTTGACATAGATTTAGCCATTGTTAAGTTTTACAAATTTACATGTTTAATAAATTGCACTGACTGCTTAAAGTTACAGTACATGTACCATATTGTGCAACTCTGCAATACATATTTACTTTGCTATTAAAGTAACATCATATTTTAGCACTGCTTCTTGGAGTGTTACTTAATCTGAGCTGTAAATGATGTGAGTATCTCAAATCCACGTATCTTAACTCATACTATATACCTTAGCTATTGGTAATATTATCTGAAATCCAAAAATGTAAAACATATATTATAATCACTAATGCACTTGCAGCATTATAAATTACAATTGTTTCATAACTATTTATGAAAGCCTTCCTCTCCCTATATCTACAGTTTTCAGTTGTCTTGTGAATGAAAAAAAAATCATTTTTTTTTTTTTAATGGGAAACCACTGTTGGATAGATAGTGTTGTCATTCCTCTACCAAGTCAGCAGGAGGGGGCATGAGTCCACGAGGATTCAGATTTGCCACCAAGCACACATCATAACTGTCGTGCATCAGAGCCTGCTTTGCCACCACAATCCATAAATTGTCCCAGGGATCCAACTGCAGGATGTCTTTAGTGATGGTATCATGACGATCTTGGAAAAGATTGGAGTACATGTTTAATTATATGTTGTAAATGAGTGTTGAATTGAATTTTGTGATTGCATTAATTTAACATCAGGTTGAAGGCTGAAGTAAATGAACTGATACTCATATTACAATACATATTTTACCTGCTCCTTTGTAGTATCCACAGACATAAAGTTTTCCATCAACAACACCAGCATTTGATGCATTGCTGCGAAGTGATAGGAGAGGCCACGGTAAAGGAGGACCATCCCTCCAGAAATCCCCATCAGGGTTGTAGATCTCCACTACATGAA